AAACTTTGGTTTTGATACAGACCTTAATATACAATTAAAAGTTGTCCAAAATTTAACTTTTAATCTAATCTCATTCATAATCTTAATCCCATCATTTTATCCAGTTTTACACTTCTCCATATCATTTTCTACCAACATAGTGTCTAATTTACTTATTATTTATATTTATTATCCACTTCATCTGTCTTCACCAGTAGAATGTAAGATTCATTAGGGCAGGAATTTTTAAAGGTTTTGTTCACAACTATATTATTAGTGCTTAGAACAGCGACTGGTACGTAAACATTTCATTCAGTTTAATTCAACAATGTGTGCCTGGGAATATTTATGCCAAAATGTCAACAATTATCCTGAAATGACAATGTTAACTAGAATCATAGCAGCATAACTCTTTTCATCATTCAGAATAAACCAGATTACACACTAAAAAGCCAGAAAATTAGTGTTTTAGATAACAAGTGTTTATTTCTTGCTCATTGGAAGTCTACTACAAGTCTGCATGACTTTCCAGGTAACTATCTTCCATGTGTTAACTCAGCAATTCATACTGCTTTGATTTTACAGTCTCTCAAAGTCAACATAGTCTTCTACAATTACCATTGCAAGAAAAGAGAGAACATTGAGAATTGTGCCCCAGCTCTTAAATAGTTTTACCAAGAAGTGACATACCACTTCCATTTCATTAGACAAAGCAAGGCATGAGGTATGCCTGACTTGAAGAGGGTGGGAATATCTGTTATTTCATGTACCTGTAAGGAAAGAGAACTAGACATGGTGAGCAGCACTTATGGCTACAAAACCACTTAAGATATTCAAAAACTAAGAGTCAGCTTTGCTAAGGGACTGCATGTTGGCACCAGGAATGCTCGGTAATGTTATCACTAGCAGAACTGGGGAAGGCAAGAAGTAGAGCAGGTGCTTTAATAGTATTGTTTCATTATGACATGGCTGAGAAAAATAAAATGAATTACTGGCCCAGGCGACTGTGTGTATGGAGTATGCATGTTCTCCCCACGTCTGCATGGGTTTTCTCCAGGTGCTCCAGCTTCCTCCCACATCTGAAAGATGTGCATGTTAGGTGAACTGGTATGTATAACCTGTCCCAGTCTGAGTGTGGGCGTGTATGAGAGCACCCTGTGATAGAATGGTGTCCTGTCGAGGGCTAGTCCTCACCTTTTACCCTGAGATGCCACCTATGTCCCTGAACTGGAATAAGTGGACAAATAATTATCTTAGTTGTCATTAATCTTTCTTAAATGTATGTATAGCTCACATTTATTTCAACGTTTACTATTGCTAGGGTTTTCATCTTTATTTTGAAGTTTGGTGATGTTTTTGTGACCAGAAATGTACCATAGGAACTTAATTCTGGTTTATATCAATTTGTCTATGGTAAAATTGGTTTTATTATATGTTATTTTGTTTAAAATGGTAGTTTCTAAGAAACTCTGGATGAAGACAAATGAGAATTTACTGCAAAACTGGTGTTGAGTATATATTTGTAAAAAACAGTACTGAGTATGGTTCCAAAAATGCTCAAGAAACATACACATCGCAAGACCCTTCAGTCACAGAAGTAATAATCAATTTCCACAAGAGAACATGTTTTAAAAAAGAAAAGCAGAGGGAAAAGGTCCTATCTTAGAGGTTACATACAGAAAGCCAGAGGAGGAATGGCCAGGGAGCTCAGAAGAGAACCAGGGGTAGTGCTCACTTCGGCAGCACATGTACTACAATTGGAACAATACAGAGAAGATTAGCATGGCCCCTGCGCAAGGATGAGATGCAAATTCATGAAGCGGTCCATACTAAATTTAAAAAATGAAGAAGAGAACCAGGGTAGGGCAGTGCAGTGCATAACTGTGAAAGACCAAGACAGGAAACAGTTTTAGAAAAGTTAACTATATTGTATATATTAAATAATAGAAAAGAGAGCTGATTTGGTAATTAGGAAGATATAAATTATATCAAAAAATACGTTTTCAGTAGTTAGATGGGACAGAAACCCAATCATAGTAAATGGATCAAAGAGTGAATACAAACAATATAACTTTAGGGTTTGCAAGACACTAGTTTAAGAAAGCGAGTCATGAAAGTAGAGTCAGCAGAAACAGTCCTAAATTGGCTTGGAGTTAAGGGAGCATTGCAGTCTCATCCTGTCCTGCTCTCCTATCTCCCACCATGGATATTTGGAGGTAGGAGGAAACATACCATAAGTGTTTATGGGACAAGTGACACCAACTTTAAAATCTGCTATCTATTATTTATCGGAAATTACACTTAAGCTTCATTTCTCTCATTTCACCATCTTAGCAACCTGGCAAAGTAGGTATTTTAATTTCCATGTTATAGATAGGGTTGTTGGAGCTCAGAAAAAGTTATCCCAAAATAAAGGCCTTGGAAGCAAAGTTTCTGTCTCTAACTTTCTGTTCCCCATCTCTTGCACCTCATTCTCCCCCTAAGCAAGCCATAGAAACTATAATTCCTCTTTTTCCAGGTGCAGTTACAGAAACCACAACCCCCTTTCCCCAAAGCCAGCCACAAACCCCAAAATATTACTCTAACCTTCTTCCTTTCCGTGAAAGACCTGCCCATAAATAAATTCTTTGACCTGCATTGTTTGATAGTACGTCTTAAGACTCCCATTCTAGAAAGCGTCCTAACCCAGACCTTGGAAGAAGCAATGCTGAACAGTTAGGTCGAGAGGAATCTGAACAGACAGGACTTGCTGAGTTTCTTCACATAGTCTCTTCTTATTAGGGCATATCCTTTTTGACTAATAAGAGTTCTACATGGCTTTTCATTCTTCATCGAACCCAAGTGTAAAAATGGGTAGTTTTCCCCGTATCTTTGCATCTCCATTTGCAAGGCTCCCATGTCACATAAAACTTGGATTAAATAAATTTGTTATGCTTTTCTCTTGCTATTCTATCTTTTTGTTATATGAGTGTTGGCTGTGACTATTAAGATGAGAAGAAAAGGTATCACCCCCTTTGTTCCCCATAAGGCACAGTATTTTGGAGACAGCAAGCTGTATGAGATGTATATAAATTTGAATTAAAATTACATGAGGCTGGGTGCCATGGCTCATGCCTGTAATCCCAGCACTTTGAGGCCGGTGCATCATTTGAGGCCAGGAGTTCGAGACCAGCCTGGGCAGCATGATGAAACCCCATTTCTACAAAAAAATACAAAAATCAGCTGGGCATGATGGCACACATCTGTAGTCCCAGCTACTTGGGAGGCTGAGGCGGGAGGATCACTTGACCCCAGGAGGCAGAGGTTGCAGTGAGTGGAGATCATGCCACTGCACCCCTGCCCGGGTGACAGAGGGAGACTCTGTCTCAAAAACAGAACAAAACAAAACAAAGTTACATGAGTTAGTAAAGGACAGAGAGTAATTTAAAATCTATATCTATCTTAGTTTCAAATCATTATATTCCCCATGAATACACTGGGATTCTCAGTGCCTTCTATCCTTTTATCAGGATTTGATAATATTTATTTAAGTAGAAAATGGACACACAGATCCCTACATATTGTGCATAATTTTTTTTCCCTACAGAAATTTCCTTGTCATTTCTTATTCTCCAAAGAATATAAAAGAAATGCAAATATTACATACCTCTTTAAAAAATAAACCATTACAAAATAGTCAAGAGATAACAATCTTCATCTTGCAGAAATCAAATAGCCAGCAATTTATGTACCTAAAAATCCCGAAACAAACATACATCAAATGGTTATTTATTTATTTATTTATTTATTTATTGTTGAGATGGAGTCTCGCTCTGTTGCCCAGGCTGGAGTGCAGTGGCGAGATCTCATCTCACTGCAACCTCCGCCTCCCGGGTTCAAGCGATTCCCCTGCTTCAGCCTCCCGCGTAGTGGGACTACAGGCGCGTGCCACCACACCTGGCTAATCTTTCTTTCTTTCTTTCTTTCTTTCTTTCTTTCTTTCTTTCTTTCTTTCTTTCTTTCTTTCTTTCTTTCTTTCTTTCTTTTTCTTTCTTTCTTTCTTTCTTTCTTTCTTTCTTTCTTTCTTTCCTTTCTTTCCTTTCTTTTTTTTTTTTTTTTTTTTTTTTTTTTTTTTTTTTTTTTTTTGTATTTTTAGTAGATACGGAGTTTCATCGTGTTAGCCAGGATGGTCTGGATCGCCTGGTCTCGTAATCCGCCCGCCTCGGCCTCCCAAGGTGCTGGGATTACAGGAGTGAGCCACCGCGCTGGCCCCAAATGGTTATCTTTGAGAGGTCCTGTGAGATCTCATTTTCTTCATCTTGTTTCTTTTTAGTATTTTTCACATTTTCTACAACAAATGCATTTTTCTTTTGTAATCACAGTCCCCCCTACAACAAATATCATACAATTCCATTTCACATATGTAACAGTGATAAATATTTTAGAGATTAAGGCTTCACTCTTATCTGACCTATTGAGAAAATTCAGCAAGCGAATTTCCCCCTTGTCTTTAACTTATAAGAATTGCCCCAGTGTGTTGTTCCTGTAGTTATGCTGCCTAAGTTGGCCAGAATCCTGGAGGGTTCCCATCCCTGCGCAAAAACAAACAAACAAACAAAAAATAAAAAAAAAAAGAGAAAAAGAAAAAGAAAGAAAAGAAAGAAAAAGAGAAAACCCATGTACAAGACCTGAGATCTCTGAATCTCAGTTGGGGATACTGGAGAAAGAAAAGGAACAGCACCATGGATTGGCAACACATTTTGTGTAGGTATAAAGATAGGCCTTTCTGGAGATTCGTCCTGGATCCTCCAGCTTATCTCCGGACGCTCCGGTTGCCTAGTTACGAGAACTAGCTACCTCGAGCTCCGCCTCCTTCTTCTAGAGTACTCCCCTTTCACCTTTCCTGGTCTCCCGCAGGGGCGGGTAGCCAGGACTCTTCAGCCACTCAGAGGCCTCCACCGCAGGACCTCAACCGATGATTGGAGGAGTGCAGTACGGGCGTTTCCTGGGGAACGCCTTACGCGCCTCGAAGTAACGTCAGCACGTCGACGCGGGGCTTTTCTTCAGCCGGGTCCCGCTAACTCGCCTACGGTGTATCTGCGTCTTTGGCCAGGCTGTTTTTTGGCTAAGAGAGCAGTCGTCGCGGACCGGCGCTGTTAGCAGGGCTTAGTGCTCTGACTGGCCGCCTTGACCTCCCTCCCGGCTTTTCCTTCCGACTTATCCACTTTAGGGGAGTCTCGGAGTGGCGGAGACCCCCGGGGAAGAGCGGGGTGCCGGTGTCCGCTCCGGGCTCGGATGGGAAGTGGCGGGAGGAGCGACCCGGGATGTTCAGTCTGATGGCCAGTTGCTGCGGTTGGTTCAAGCGGTGGCGGGAGCCCGTCAGGTAGGCTGGAGCCAGCTGTCCCGGCGATCCTAGGGGTTGGGGATGGCTGCGCCCCAGGGGCGGGGCGCCGCCTGTTCCCCGCGCCTGCAAGAGTCTGTCCCAGGCCGCAAGGGATGCTTTCATTCCCAGGGTGTCCCGGGAGGGAGAGATTGGAGGATGCAGCGTTTCTGTCTGGTCCACTTTACGTTACGATTGACAGTGCTTATCGTTGTTATATTTTAAATAGGTTTGAATTTGTTAAAAAGTGTGTGTGTGTGTATGTGTGTGTGTGTGGCATTGAAAACTATCCGTTGTGTGTTTTTCTTCTGAAGCTTTTGTACTGGAAGTTCTTTTAAAAAGAGGGGGACATGGAATATAGTTTTCATAATATGCGCACATTCCATTCCAACTTACACCTCCACACACCCCCACACAGTTGTATTTGAGCACGTGGGCTTGAAATCTGGCTCCACTACTTAATAATTATATGACTCAACCATTTTGGCCCCACCTTTCTTAAATATTAAACGAGAGTGATAATACTCTGTGCTTTAGAAATATTGTATTCAATGAGAACAAGTGATGGATAGTGTTTTCTTAACTGTAATGTAGCTTCCACTTTTCATACGGTCTCTAGTAAAACATTTTAATTGAAAGGGTCCACTTTTTAACATTTCATTTTGCAATGCTAGAAGTGTTAATAATTAGCACCTGTTACTTGATATTCATTCATTCAACAAATATTTATTAAGACAATACCTTGTGCCAGGTGCTGTCTTAGGAAATAATCAGTGAAATTGATGCTTTTGAAACTGAGGCCTAACCTGTAAAGAAACCTCGTGTTTGTTATATAAATAATGTTGACTTTTCATAGTTCTAGTCTGGAATTGGGCCAAGGATAAGATAAAGCAATTGTTAACATTTTAAGTATATTTGCCAAGAGAATGAACTGTCCTTTAAAGAATGAATCTGAAAAGCTACACTGACACATTATAATGGAAAATACATGTCTAGGTTGGAAAAAAAGTAACTTTAAATGAAACTAAAGATTCGTCCTGATTATTAGCTCTTAACTGAATTTGAATGTTTTAAATATAAGTGGTAAGATCAACTCTGTAAGTCAAAGATGGGCTGGATTTGGTGGCTCACGCCTGTAATCCCAGCACTTTGGGAGGCCGAGGCTGTTGGATCTTTGGAGCTCTGGGATTCGAGACCAGCCTGGGGAATATGGCGAAACCCCGTTTCTACAATAAAATAAACGGCGCGGTGACGCGCACCTGTAGTCCCAGCTACTCTGGAGGCTGAGTCAGTAGGATCACTTGAGCCCGGGAGGCGGAGGTTGCAGTGAGCCGATATCGCTCCACTGCCTGGGTGACACAGTGCAACCTTGTCTCAAAAAAAAAAAAAAAAAAAAAAAAAGAAAAGAAAGGTCAAAGAGTGGTTTTAGGTGTATAGATTCTGATTTTTTTGTTTTAATTATATTCTGGTCTAATTTCAAAGTATCTACTAAGACTTGAGGGTCATTCCTAATAGTTGGCGCCTCATTTTCCATCGTGTCTGCTTTTAAGAAATGTATTTGGTTTCTATTGAAGGCATATAACTTACGTTCTTTTATCTAAGAACAGTGAAAACGTGTAATTCGAAGGAGTGTTCAATTTAATTCATCATTCTTAGTCTTTGCTTTCCTTAGCAGCTTTTGTGTATATACGCTCTGGAATGATTTGTTTAAAGAAAAGACAGAGTTCAGAGAAAGGAGAATGTATTGATTTCCAAGTAGAACAGATAATTGAATTTTCTTAATAAAGCATTAGTAAAATTTAGCGGCATAACCCAGCTTGTATTTTCTTCTTTAGTAAGTACCATCTAAATTTGTCCTGTCCGGTAGGGTAACAACGAGCTACATGTGGCTGTTGAGCGTTTGAAATGTGGCTAGTCTGAATTGAGATGCTGTAAGTGTATGTTTAATACATAGTGCGCTTTGAAAGATTATGCAAAAAAGTCAGCATCTTATCAGTCTGTTAAAAGTTTGATTACATGTTGAAATGATAACTTTTGCATATGTTAGATTAGATAATATATTAGAATTAACCTTTTTTTTACTTTTTAAAAAATGAGATTACTAGAGAATTTCAATGTATATGTGGCTTATATTACATTTCTTCTGGACCTTACTGTTCTAGATCATAGTCTAATATAAAGGACGTAGGTAAACATCTCAATTTGGATAACTGTCAAAGGATTTGAAAACAAGTTGGATTACACCTATCTTCTAAGTCCTCTTGTTCAATGCCTGATTTATAACAGTGGCTGAATAAATATTTGCCAAATATTGTATGTAGTTTGATTTTTCTTAGTAATAGTCATCCTTATGTAAATAACATTAGCAAGTAGTTCCATTTATTTTACTGGAATAAATGAGAGGTGAGCAAGCTAATTTTAAAAACAAAATTTTGTGCTTTTATGGTATTCTCTATTTTTTCAACAGAAATTGCCTGTTTGATTATTATGTATTTGTTTTCTGTAGAATTTATTATTAAGATTCCTCTTCATGTTTATATTTTATGAAGATATCCTGACAAATGTGAGGAGTGAATTTGTAAAAGAGATGATGATGGTTATTAATACATTATATTTGAGATTACTTTGCAGATCTGTTTAATATATTTTGTACCCATTGTATTTACCCACCACTCCTCACTTAGATCCTCTCCTAGTGAGCATATTATTCCAGACATTGGAATCAGGGATTAGATTTGTGTGATAAGGACAAGGCAGGAGTCGGAGATCAAGTGTTAAGGCACCAGTCTAGGTCAGGAGTCAAGATCTTATAAAAGTTTAAGGCTTGATCCCCCTTAGTGGAGTACCGAACCCCACTTATTTGGGGTTTGGTATGGCCCCATTCATGAATTTTGGTTCAGTTTGGTATGGCTCCATTCATGAATCAATGAATGTGGAAGTAAACTCTTGAAACTTTTATTGTTCCTAAGTTTGTCTTTTAAAAATATGTTACCAAATTGCTCCTCAGAAAGGATTAAAAAAATAAAATAAAACACCGTTTCTACTCCTACCAACAGGGCATTGGAGTGCCTTTTTCACTGAGAAAATCAGGAGTCATCAGTTTTTCATCTTCTTCAGGTTACAGGGGAACCTTTCCGCTTTGAGTTTCTGTTTTTGTTGTTGTTGTTGTTGTTGTTTTTGATTACTAGGAAGATTAGCTTTTTTTTCCTTGAACATTTGTGTTTTTCTCAGCAATTGTCCATTGGATTCCTGTTATGTTTTTTCTATTGGGGCAGGTGTGTTTTCCTACTGAATTTTTAAAAAGAAATTTTAAGTGTTTATCATAGCTACTGTTTCTCTGTAGTACAATTGACACTTAAACAACACAGGGTTTAGGGGCACTGAACCCGGCCTTGCCAGCACAGTCAGAAATCCACGTATAACTTTTGACTTCCCAAAAACTTAATTACTAATAGCCTCCTGTTGACTAGAAACCTTACTGATAACGTGAATAGTCAGTTACCACAGATTTTTTATATTATATGTATAATTTATTGTTATCTTAAAGTTAGAGGAAAGGAAATGTTAAGAAAATCATAAGGGACTGGGCGCGGTGGCTCAGGCCTGTAATCCCAGCACTTTGGGAGGCCGAAGTGGGCGGATTACTTGAGGTCAAGAGTTCAAGACTAGCCTGGCCAACATGGTAGAAACCCTGTCTCTATTAAAAATACAAAAATTAGCTGGGCGCGGTGGCGGGTGCCTGTAAATACCAGCTACTCGGTAGGCTGAGGCAGGAGAATCACTTGAACCTGGGAGATGGAGGTTGCAATGAGCCGAGATCGTGCCACTGCACTCCAGCCTGGGCGACAGAGCAAGACTCTGTCTCAAAAAAAAAAAAAAAAAAAAAAAAAATATATATATATATATATGGAAGAAAAAATGTATTAACTATTAAGTAGAAGCGGATCATCATAAAGGTCTCCATCCTTATCCTCTTCCCTTTGAGTAGCCTGAGGAGAAAGAGGAAGAGGGGTTGGTCTTACTGTGTCAGGGATTGCAGAGGCAGAAGAGGTGGACATGGAGGCTAGGGGGGCAGAGGCAGGAGAGGAAGGCACACGTGTAACTTTCATTAAACAAAAATTTGTGTATAAGTAGAACTGTGCAGTTCAAACGTGTGTTGTTCAAGGGTCAGTTGTATAATGTTGCAAGTATTTTCTTTCCATTTGTTATATTTTCAAATTTTTGTGATTTTTATATATAAACATTTAAAATTTTTGAATTCAGGCTGGGTGTGGTGGCTCACACATGCAATCCTAGTGCTTTGGGAAGATTGCTTGAGCCTAGGAGTTTGAAATCAGCTTGGGCAATATAGTGAGACCCCATCCCTACAAAACAATTTTTAAAAAATTAGCCATACGTACTGGCATGTGCCTGTAGTCCGAGGTACTTGGGCTGAGGCAGGAGGATGGCTTGAGCCCCAGAGGTGGAGGCTGCAGTGAGCCAAGGTTGCCCCACTGCAGCCTAGCCTGGGCGAAAAAGTGAAACCCTGTCTCAATCAATCAATCAATCAATCAATAAGACTAAATAAAAATTTTAAATTCAGATATATTACTTTTTCAGTGTAATGTTTAGAAAGTTCATCAGCATTCCAATATTACATTCACATATACTTTTTTCTAGTACTTTTATATTTTAATTTTTAACATTAAAAAATTTTAATCTGTTGCAATTTATTTAGCCTATAGGGAGCAGCCTTCATCTTGAGTATAGGACACAAGGTCTGTGAAGCTATGATGCTCAGTAAATCTCTGGGCCTTACAGCAGATTCTAACCCTTACACATTCTCATCTACACATTTTGAGCTCCTGTTATTTGTAACATAGCATCTAGGTGATGAAATATTGCGTGTAAAATACAATGATTGAATATGCAAGAGTTGAAAGATGATTTTTAAGATTTTTAACAAGAATCAGGAAAGAGGATTTTAGAAGGGGTGTAATTTTACCTGGGTCTTGAAGAAATTT